CTTCATAATGAAATAAAAAATTCCTCGTTAAAATCAGAAAACAAATTTTTAAGCACTTTTTTTCAGCAGTAGTAACAAAAAAAACTGATTTTGAGGAAAAATCCCTCTAAATTTTGAGATCTTCCCTGTGAGCTAGTAAAGTTTTTGTTTCTTTCCAACTGGGAAATGTCAATATTTAAAAACTATTTGAGATTTCCTCTTCATAATGAAATAAAAAATTCCTCGTTAAAATTACAGAAAATTAGGATTTAGACCAAATATTAATGTTTTATTGTAACCAACAAGACAAATTAGGGCATATTTCTGGTTCTGTTTATGATATCAGAATGATCCAGGTATCAAAATGTATCTTTTAAAGAGTCATTTTGACCAAGTTCAACTTAATCCTCATTTCGATACAATGGGTCACATATTAAACCTTAATTAAGACCTGGAGCTTCTTTCTGTCTGTTAACATCTTAAAAACACCATTTCGGTGTCACAGCTCCTACTTCCTGTTTGCTTTAAAAGTCTGAATATTTTTACACATCAACAAGTATTTGTGCACGTACATGCACGCAGGAACTGAAAGGCTTGTGCACACATGCGCACTCCTCCTCGGTCCTCCTCTAATATTCATGCGTGGCTTTGGTCGAGGACAAAAGGCTGAGAGGAAACTCAGCTGATGCTGCAGTCCAGGTTCAGAAAGTCCAGATACCTGAAACCAGTTTATAGCAACAAGAAGGAAGTGATGAACGTGACACTGCTGATACGTGGTGATGCTGGAATATTTATTACTTGTTTTATTTTTCGTAACACCGTTAAACCGGAAGAGGAAGCGAAACCGTCGCACGTCTGCAGTACTTTGTGATGTTTCCCTTTTTGAAAATGAACTTCATTGACTCGCAGGCTTTTGTGTTTTCAGAGGAGGAGCTGAGGAAGCTGCGCGAGGAGACCAATGTGGACTGTCTGCGGCAGGAGCTGGACCGAGAGCGGGGCAAGAGGATGGAACTGGAGCAGAAGATGAACGAGGTGCTCAGAACCAGGTGAGGACAGCTGAGGAGACGGGGGCGGTCCTGACGTCTGAGCTCAGCAGAGTTCACCCCGGGTCAGGCCGGATTGTGCCACTCCTGTCCAAGGTTTCTGTTATAAATAGACTCAGCAGCTCGGAAGGCAGGGAATTCCTCCAGGAGGTGTCTGTTGATGTGGATGGAAAGAGAGTTAAGAGATGACTCAGGCATGTGTCAGTGTTGGCAGGGATGTAGAAGCTGTGCCGCTGTAAGACRTGTTTACGACCGTACCATCAGAGGATGACCGCCAACAAGAAGCTGCACTTGTGACTCTCAGCAGACTGACCTCAGGAGTGTCTGCAGGTTTGACGTCGTGTGTGAGGTTTCATAAACTAGCTTGTTTTCCAGTTCGTTCCTGGTCGACACCAATCACCTGGAAAGATTCAGGTGAGGAAATGAAGTAGGTCGAGATACAAACAGATGAAGGAACAATCATAAAAGATGGGGGAAAAAAAGGATACAGAACAAAATGAGACCTAAAACTGAAATTATAAGAGCTAGAGTACACACAGTCCCCTCAACTAGGCCTTAATCCAAAGATCTTAGAGGATCTAGGAGGACTCTAAAGGAGCCATTATTAATATATATAGTTCTTAAAATCCTGTTTCTATTTTGCAGAAAAGAGCTATAAGAATTGTCACAAAAAACATTATGATTGCCCATCAAATACATTATTATGTCAGCTGAAATTATTGAAACTCTATGATTTGGTTGATTACAACATTTTGCAGATTATATATAAGGCTCATAAAAAGATATGACCTTTGAACATCCAATCGAATTTTGTTAAGAGACAGAGTTACTACAGTTTAAAAGGGACAGAGGTGTTTGTGAAACCTAAAATCCAAACTAGTTTTAGGGAAAGATGTACTTCAGTGCAAGGAATAAAACTGTGTAATAATCTGGAGAATGATATTAAAAGTGCAGGATCAATGTAAAAGTTTAGGAGAATGGTAAAA